TCCTGCCACTCAGTCCCCCCCTGCTGTCCCTCAGTCCCCACCCGCTGTCACTCAGTACCGACCCACCGTCGTTCAGTACCCACCTGCTGTCACTCAGTACTGACCTCCTGTCACTCAGTGCTGACCTGCTGTCACTCATACCCACCTGCTGAGTGGGCACTTGCCAAGGGGCCTCCTCTCACGCCTTCCCCCCACACAGCCCCGTCCCCTCGCCCTACCTGCCATGCATCTGAGCTTGCCTTCCACCTGACCATGTCCCTCTGGATGTCCCTGGTGGCAGTGACTCGGCCCTCAGGTAGGGTGGTGGGGAGGCGAGGTGGGTCCCTGGCCGTGTATTAGTGCTTACACGAGTGTCGCCAAGCGCTGCCCTGAGCGGGCACTGCTGCAGGTGGTGCCCGCAGAGAAGAGGGGGTCACACCCCAGCCTCGGCTGGGCCGGGCCTCCCTCAGAGCAGTAGGGAGGGTGGAGCTGCGGGAGGGCTCTGAGGGCTCCGCTCAGCTGTGCTGTCTGCTGCTGCCCCAGGTGTACGAACTCAACGGGGACACCCACGACCGTCACTGGGCGGTGAGGACCTACAAGGAGGTGGCCTGGAGGTTTGCGCAGAGGCACCCTGACTTTATCGGAATCAAACTCATTTTTTCGGATCACAGGTGAGAGAGGGTACCATGGGAGCTGCGCGAGGAGGGCAGGGGTGCAGAGCTCCCAGGCTGTGAGGGAGAGGGACCTAGGGGACGGGAGGACACGAGGGGAGCCCCAGCCCTCGGTGACGGAGCTGGGGTCCGCCGTGTGTGTGTGCGCGAGTGTGCAAAAGCCGAGGTCTGCCCTGAGATCACCTTCAGGTCGGATCTTCACACCAAATGGGAAGGGAGGAGGGGACCATCTTTAGAGAGGTTACAGGCGTGGCCCCTTGTCAGCGGTGACTCAGCTGTGGGTCCCAGGTGTCTGCCTGGGGGTTCAGCTTTGCTCCGCTCACCTTTGGGACCCGCCGCTAGCTGTGCCTGCGAGGCCTGGACCACGGCAGGCTCTGAGGCCAAGATGGATGTGGCCGGCAGACACCCGGACCGCTCTCTCCCTGGGAGCACAGAGCTGTAGAGCTCGGGTTTCTTCCCGTCTTCCCCACGGTAGACTGTCCCATGCAGGAGAGCAGCAGCCCAAGGCCAAGACCCCCCAAGATGATACCAGAGCGGCCCAGTGGGGGCCTGCGGGTCAGGGTGCGGGGCCTGCGGTGGGGTGTTGGGGGTTCCCCATGCAGCTGGGCCCTGGAGAGCCTCTGACCTCCCCATGCAGGGCTGCGACCCAGGAAGGAGCTGCGGGAGGGACCTGCTGGGTCCACTCAGGACCCCTGAACTGCTGCCTCTGGGCCAGCGGCAGGGAGCAGGGCAGGCCGAGGGGTCAGCACTGTTCACCTGGGACCCTGCAGGCCTAGGCCAGGCTAATGCCTTTCCGTGCCCTGCCCTGCTGGTCCTGGGCGTGCCAGGAGAGGGTGCCAGGGTGCAGAGGGGGTGGCCTGCGGTGTGGCCGACTGCATCAGCAGGGACCATCTGGTTCCTGGGCCTGCTGACCTGGGGCCCTGGGATCCGTTGCATACTAGGAGGTCGGTGGGCGGAGCTGGCCCGGTGCACCCACCCTCACCTCAGGGGGACAGGAAGCCTGGGGCCAGGCCGCTTGGCCTCCTGCAAACACAGCCAGCAATACCTTCTGTGGCTGCTCACCCTGGGGAAGAGTCCATGCTTCCCAGGAGCCAGCAGGGTCCCTGACAGGAATGGCTCTGGGCTGCACATGCTCGGGGACCACAGGGCCAGCAGGCTGGGGTCAGGTGTGAGCAGGCCAGGCCTGGGGGACGGTGGCCAGTGACCTGGACCAGGCCAGCCTGGCACTGCCAAGTGACACCCAGTCACCTGTCTCCCGGCTCTTCTCCCTCAGAGCCAAGAACGTCTCTCTCATCACCGAGTCTGTCCGGGTGGCCATGAGTCTTCGAGCCAAGTTCCCTAGGACGGTGGCGGGGTTTGACCTGGTGAGCAGCTCTGTGAGCTGAAAGGCTGTCAGAGAAGGGGGTGCGCAGGGGGCGGGGGCCCTGAGGGCCAGATGGGCTGCTCTGTGTGAAGGTGGTTCTCACCACCGCTCTCCGGAGGGGCCCCGGCTGCTGCCCCGGCGGGGCTGCCAGAGGCCAGCGCTGACCCCTGTGGGGCTGCGGGCCAGGGCACTCTTGGGAGAAGCCAGCAGGGGCAGAGGGCTAGGACGGAGCTCGAGGGCCTTGCACAGTAATGGCCTGTCCTCTGAAAACCTCGCTGCCTAGGAGCAGAGGCCGACAGCACACAAGCCCCGGGCCGGAGGTCAAGGGTGTCAAGTTTGTCCCCTGCTCTTCTCCATCCGTTTGCTTTCCCACCTATATTTATTTATTTAATTTTTTTAAAAAGCATTTATTTTTTTAAATTTATTTAACTTTATTTATTATTATTTTCACATGAGTTTTGCCAGAGAAAGACAGAGAGAAAGAGAGAGAGAGAGAGAGAAGCCGCCAGGTCCGGGACTGGAACAGTGGTCGGCCATGTGGAAATTCTAGCACCTTAACCACCACACCACTTGCTGGCCCTATTTATTTAATTTTTGAAAATTAATTTTATCTATTATTATTTTAAAGTTTGTTACAGGGCACATGTGCTCACCAGAGAGAGACGGAGACAAGGAAAGTGAGAGAACAAACCATCAGGTCTGGGACTTGAACTGCAGTTGACCATGTGGGAGTCCAGCACCTTAACCACCATGCCACCTGCTGGACCCTCCCCGCCTACATCTAAAGCTAATTTATTAATTTTTTTTTCTATGAGAAAGAGAAAGAGATAAGATAGACAGGCATCCCCAGCAGAGTCTTCACACCGAGCTCCCCTCCAGCTTCTACCAGCCTGAATCTTTTTTTTTTAAGAGAGAGATCTTTGCTATAGCGTGTGTGTGCATGCCAGAGAGACACGGAGAGACTGAGAGACAGAAAGTGAGAAATCACTCCCTGGGGGGATGGCCACACCACAGTCCCTTCTCCTTCATTCTCCTCTCAGAGTCTTCGGCACACACACACGCACACATGCCTGTCATGAGTTTTAAGCTGCCGGGTCCCAGACTTGAACCATGACTGCATGGGAGTCCAGTGACATAACCATTACGCCACCTGCTGGTCCCCAGCCTGAATCTTGAGCACACATGTGCACCTAGCATGTACGAGAAGGCCTTGGAAGGGCAGCCCCCTGGCCTCGTGGTTAAGGGAGCTAGGTCCCACGTGGCCAACCGCACGGTTCGAATCCCAGCCTCAGTGGCTCGGGAGGCCCACTGGAAGCTGTGCACGCAGTGCTCAAAGTCCCGACAGAGTAAGAGTGGAGGGAAGGCGTTGCAGCAGACCACACCACACCGGGGAGGCACCTTCTCCTTCCCCTCACCTTGCTGTCTCTGTCTGGCGAGCGCACAGGCCCTCTGGCGAATTTAAGTAAAGAATAGGTTTTGGGGTGTAGACCTAGGACCTCCCCATGTGGGCCCCGCCTCCCAGAGTGCTACCCTGCACCATCTGCCCCACCAACTACTTAAAAAAATTTTTTTAAAGGTTTTTGCCATAGGGTGCATGTGTTCACCAGAGAGAGAGAGAGAGAGAGAGACAGAGACAGAGAGAGGGGAAGTGAGAGAGTAGAGGGGGTGATGGCTGCACCACAACCCTTTCTCCGGGCTCCTGCTGGGGTTTGGGCACGCACATGCCCTCGCTCCTGGAGAGAGTTTTAAGCTGCCAGGTTTGGGACTGGAACCGCAGTCGGCCGTGTGGGAGTCCAGAACCTTAACCACTATGCCACCTATTGGCTCCCTCACCACCTAACTACCACCTACTTTTTAAAAATTATTCATTGTCATTATTTTATTTGTTTTATTTATTTATTTTTTTAAGTTTGACCAGAGAGAGAGAGAAGGAAAGTGAGAAAGCAAGCTGTCAGGTCTGGGACTCGAACGAAGTCAGCCATGTGGAAGTCCAGCTGCCTTAACCACCACACCGTCCGCCGCCCCCTCCACCTACTTTTGAAGCTGCACATCCATGGTTGTTGTCAGCGCCTCCCTAAATGCCATGGAATCAGAGCCACTGCCGGGCCCTAACCGCCGGACTGCTGGGGTGCCTCTCATTAATCTCGAGAATCGAAACTGGCCTAGACTACTCGGCCGAAAGCCTCCCTGCTCCCTTTACATCTCTGCTCAGTTCACCTGAGACCCTGCTTCAGCTCTGGACTCCAAAGCACCCAGAGCCCAAAGGAGACATCGCAAGGGGTCACTTTGGTCCCAGAGTGCCCTCCTGGCATCCCTGGGCTTGCTTTGTGGAGCTTGCCTTTTCTTTTTTTTTCTTTTTTTCCCTTTAAGGTTTTTGCCGTAGGGTGTGTGCATTCGCTGGAAAGAGACAGAGAGAGAAGAAAGAGGGAAAGTGAGAAACCACCCCCCTCCCCCCCCTCACGGGGATGACCATGCCACAATATCCCTTCTCCCCCATTCTCCTCCTGGGATTTGGGGCACACGCGAAGACATATCCAGTGTGATTTTCAAGACACCAGGTCTGGGATTTGAACCACGACTGGTCATGTGGGAATCCAGTGCCCCAACCACAATGCCGCCTACTGGCCCCAAAGAGACTGATCTCTCAAGAAGAAGGCCAGGAGGGAACCAGCAGTTAGCGTAATGGCTATGTCGTTGGACTCCCACGTAGTCAACCGCCATTCGTGTCCCGGACCCGGTGGCTTAAAACTCACGCCGGGCGCATGTGCGTGTGTGCCCAAGATCCCAAGAGGAGAATGGAGGAGAAGGGATTGCGGCATGACCATCCCCTCTGGGGGATGATTTCTCGCTTTCTGTATCTATGTCTCTCTCTGTCTGTCTGGCGAGCGCACGCGCCCTACAGCAAAAACCTCTCCAAAAAAAAAAAAAAAAGAAGAAGAAGGCCTGAGGGCCTGCAGGTGGTGTGGAGGTTAAGGTGCTGGACTCCCACACAGCTGACTGTGGCTTGAATCCCAGACCTCTGTCTTGAAAAATCACACTGGGTGTGCCTGAGTGTGTGCCCAGAATCCCAAGAGGACAGTGGAAGAGAAGGGGCTGTTGTGTGGCCATCCCCCGGGGGGTGATTTCTCACCTTTCACTGTCTCTGTCTCTTTCAGATGAGTGCATACACCCTATGGCAAAGACAAAAACAAAAAACAAAAAACCCCCCAAAACAAAAAAAAAACAAACAACAACAACAAACAAAAAAGAAAAAAAAAAAGGGACTGCAGCAGTTTAAAAGCTACTTTTAAAAAAAAGTATTTACTTTTATTTATTAATCGTTATTATTATTTTCAATTCGACTAAAGAGAGACAGGGAGTGAGAGAGAGGGAAAATGAGAAAGCAAGCCACTAGGTCCAGGACTCAAACCATGATCAGCCATGTGGAAGTCCAGCACCTGAACCACCACACCACCTGCTGGCCCCAACAGGGAAGCTTCTAATACAGGGTTTCTTTCTTTCTTTCTTTTTAAAGCATATTTGATTTAACTTTATTATTATTATTTGACCAGGGAGAGACACAGAGAGAGAAGGAAAGTGAGAAAGCAAGTCGCCAGGTCTGAGACTCGAACTGTGGTTGGCCATGTGGGAGTCCAGCACCCTTAACTACCATGCCACCTGCTGGCCCCTAATTCAGGGTTCCTAAAGAGTCCTGGCCGTGCACCTGTGGGCAAGCCCTGTGGGAAGCTGGGATGGAGTGGGGGTGGCAGTCGTTCAGAGGGGTCCACGTGCACGCTGCAGTGTCTTTGAGTCACACGCCACTGAGTACTCTGGACACCCATATTTGCTTGACCATGAAAGTGTGTCTCCGACCCACACCCTCCTCCCCTCAGGAGTTAAAATCAGCATTCTGGGGGCTGGCTGGTGGCGTGGTGGTGAAGGCGCTGCACTCTCACACGGCTGACGCGGTTCAAGTCCCAGACCTGGTGGCTTGCTTTCTCACTTTCTCTCTCTGCCTGTGTCTCCAGCGAGCGCACATGCCCTATAGCAAACTAAGAACCATAATAGTAATAAAATAAAATAATAATAGAACAGTTAAATGGTGTGGTGGTTAAAGGTGCTGGCCTCCCACATGGCTGACGCGATTTAAATCCTGAATCTGGCGACTTGCTTTCTCACTTTCTCTCTGTTTGATCTAACTGGAAAATAATAACAACAATAAAGTTAAATAAAGTAATTCTTTAAAAAAATTATAAAAATGTTTTAAAAATTGGGCAGGCAGGTGGCGTGGTGGCTATAGGTTCTGGACTCCCAGATGACTGACTGCTGTTCAAGTCCTAGACCTGGAGGCTAGTTTTCTCACTTTCTCTCTCTCTCACTCTGTCCCTTGCTGATCAAATTTAAATAAATAAATGAAGTTAAATAAGGTAACTCTTTAAATAAATAAATAAATAAATAATATAAAATAAATAATTCTTTAAAAAAAAAATCACACATACACACAAAAAAGGGACCAGCAGTTAACGTAATGGCTATGTTGCTGGATTCCCATGTAGTTGATTGCAGTTCAAGTCCTGGACCCGGTGGCTTAAACTCATGCCGGGTGCGTGTGCGTGCGTGCCTAAGATCCCGAGGGGAGAATGGAGGGGAAGGGATTGCGGCGTGGCCATGCCTCCGGGGAGTGATTTCTCACTTTCTGTCTCTCTGTCTCTGTCTGGTGAGTGCACACGCCCTATAGCAAAAACCTCTCCAAAAAATATTGCACACCAGAGTTAGGGCTCTATTGTGGTTGGCCAAGTGGGACCTGACTCCCTGAACTGCTGAGCTGCAGGGCCAGCCCACTTCCGGTTATTGTTAAAGGGCCCTTAGGAACCAGCAGTTAGCATAATGGCTATGTCGCTGGACTCCCACGTAGTTGACCGCGGTTCACGTCCTGGACCCGGTGGCTTAAAACTCACGCCGGGTGCGTGTGCGTGCGTGCCCAGGATCCCGAGAGGAGAATGGAGGAGAAGGGATTGCGGCATGACCATCCCTTCTGGGGGGTGATTTCTCGCTTTCTGTCT